ATTACTGACTGTTTGCCCAAACACCATGAGCAACATTTTTCTTTTTACTTTGGAGTATTTTGTTCAATACTTTCTAAATGAAATATTAAAATAAAAAGTTGTAGAACTGTTCTTTGTCAGCAGAGCAGGTTTGTTTTGGGAATAGTATTTTGGCAAAGTTCTGAGTTTTAACAAAGCTTTTTCGAGCTCTCAAAAAATTTTAGATTCTCAGGTTAGACATTTGGTTTGTATGGAAAATAGACCACTTATTGACAGGAATTGTTTTTGTCACGTATTGTCAGTGTTGGGTGAAACCTCCAAATAATCACCCAACAATTACTAGATGTTTTTGACTTCTAATGAAATCAATATTTGAGAGTTTAACAAATTTGATGACGGATTTTGTATATGAACAAACATTTTTGATAAGGAGTCCCTGTATTTCTATGTGATATTTATGTTATAAAAATAACCTTGTCAGTGCTCTCTGGTGGACAAACTATATAATGGAGACATAAATTCTGAAGTATCTCAAACATAACTTTAACATTTCTTTGCAATTTCTTGATTCTAATTCACCAACATATTTCCATCTGTGATCAGCTAAGATTGTTAATGGATTATTGATTGGGCTTTAGGCTACCTCAGATGATGATTTGCTGTAATTTTGGATTGACAAACATGTCTGCTGATCACACAATGATGCAAAACTACACTGAACTTCAGGCTACATGATTAATATACAGCAAAGTTCCATGTTTATTTAAATTAAGAAAACTAGATCAGTCAAAATTAGTAACTATTTTGGGTCAATTAATTGATTAATTGTTGAAAAAAAATATTTATTTAAATTTATATAAGTATATAAATATTTATATTTATTTAAAAATACAAACAAAAATCAGACAAACGTTTTTCTATCGTATACAGACAACAGCTGTATAAGGGGAAAGAAATAAAAAAACAACCCAACAAAAAGACAGCCATCATAAAAACAGAACAAAACAAAATGAAATAAAAAAAGTATCTTAATAATTGAAAAAAAAAAAAAGAATAAATAGGAGGGTTATTCTCTACAGGTTACAAACTTACTACCCTACTGAAGCAAGTGGATAGATGTGCATCAGTCTAACTCAGGGGTGGGCAATCTGCGGCTCTGAGGTAGATGCAGCTCTGTAGCCCCACTCCAGTGGCTACAAAAAAATAATAATAATTGTGAAAAAAATCATATTGAAATGAGTAATGGTTATTTAATTTAACATTTTAATTTTTATTTCTCTACATTGTAGGCTTAAAGTTATTCTTAAATTCTCCAACTGTAAAAATGTGTAGCCTATACACTGAATTAAAAAAAAAAAGTGCATCGATTTATACGTCTACAGCCTGCTGCCTTATCCTCTGAATTTTGCTGACCCTCAATGTGGGGGTTGGCATGTCTTGAGTCTCCCTAGCTAGTACAGCTATGGATTCCAGATCCAAAAAAAGGTCTTCGAGAAAAATAGAGAATTCAGTCATTCCCCAGCTAATGCATGTGCTTTCCCTGTCAACACCATGAAGTTAAACTACCAAATAATCATAAATAGCCGACTGCAGAGGAACTACCCTGTGGTAAAACGTTTTAATGAATGATGAATACTAATTTAGACCTAATTTAGACTTCATAGGCTGTGTTACTTCCATTATGAGGCTCAAATATGTTTTGCGGCTCTAGACTTTTTTTTTTTTTGTGCCAAAAATGGTTCTTTTGATAGTAAAGGTTGTGGACTCCTGGTCTAACTACATGCTTTATTAAAATACATGTCTTCGGGACGTGGTTGCCAAGCAGGGTGATGATATTGACTTGTATACACAGAAAGCCTTTATTCATACATTACTTTCAAGTTTAGCTACAGTGATGCTAAAGTAAAACAATGTATATGAATCATCCAAATATATACCTGCCAGATTAATCAGTAATTCAATCTGATTTTAATTGCAACCCTAGGAGTTACAGGGTTTAACCTGAACTTAGTGATATGACCATGCTGTCTCCAACACTGTTTACTCTGTTAGTGCATCTAAACTGAAGGGCTTATACATAATGCTTGGCTTTATTTCCCTTGCCTCTACATATGAAGTCTTCTTGTGAAAAAAAAAAAAAAAACCCTGTTCATGTATAAAAATGAACAGATGTTTTACACACTGTCATCTGCATACATCATGATACTGAGTATAGTTGAACCTTCTATTCCCCTGAAGTAATGTATGTGCTCATTAGAGTATTGTGCATTGTAAGATCTGATTATAACGTAAGATTGAATGCTGAGTATCCACATATGGGTTATTCATGCAGATTGTGTATTAATTAGTATAGGGCCTCTCTGGTGTGTTTCATTAGGGGCTGGGTGTTTGAAGTATTTCTATACCAGCAGAGGATGCTCATGGCATTATAGCCAACTCTGAAGAAGAAGCCTCTCTTGCCTTTTCCCTGGAAGTTCACCCACCAGGGAGGCTCGGCTAATAAGTTCCCTTGGCTAAACTCAACCTGTTTTCTGCCTCATTCACTGCAATATAGAAAGAACTAAAGATGCATTTGCTCTTGTAGACATTTCGCCAGACATCCTAAAGGTTGCACAAAATATTCTGCTGCATAGTTTTGGACTTTAAAAATGAATTAACTGGATCATGAAATATATAAAAAAAAAGAATGTATGAAGCACAAACAGAGTTAAATATTGCCATGTCCACTTTCCTCACCACTTCACAGCGGTGAATAAGGATTAAATAAATTGCCTCAGTGAGGGCTGGGCCATTACTGGTCATCTTTTCAATGCTTGAATCTGAAATGGAAATGAGAGGCAATTATAACAGTTCTTAATATCACCATTATTACATGGTGACCCTTCATTTCACACGGTTTGGGCCCTTTGGTTAAAGCAGGCGTGTTGAAAGTCACTCAGTCTTTTGTTTTTCTTTCTGGCTGAAAGGGGGCCTTGTCTTCACTTTGACCTCTCAGAGGAGAGCTTTGTGTGCTGACTTTACTTTGTTATTTTTTTTTCCTCTTTTCAGCTGTGTCAGGGTGTCTGACTGTCTAGGAACAGTTACCCAATCTGCCCCGCTGACACAGAAGAGGGTTTTTACAGGCTTCTGTGATTTCTTGGAGTGAATCACAATCTGAAGTGTCCAATACGGCCACTGAGGAGCTGTGGGCAGCTGTCATTAATGTGACTTCTTTTCTGCTGAGAGAAAAAAAGTGACCCCTAACCACATCATTCAAAGATAATGCTAAGAGTCTTACTTTCTGAGGGTTAGACCTTAGTCCTTGATGCTGTTTTCAAGAAATAAATACAAAATAGAATGCATCAGAATGACGCTTTAACAACTTTATGAAGTTGGAACTAGAGTAAAGCAATTAGGCTATGAATGGATTAATTGATGATCAATTAATTGTTTAAATATAAATAATTGCTGGGTTCTGTTAGTCCTCTGTGATTGTAAGCTGAATACTTTACAGGTTTTGGACGGTTGGGCTTGGAGAAAATGTGACATTTTTCAGTGTTTTCTGACATTTAAAGACCAGAGATTGAACAACAAATCAAGAAAGAGCCTTTGTCCGTAATTAGCTCCCCCTTTGTTCACTCTTTCCTCACTGGTACATTTCTGTGAGCATGATGCTTGTTGACACATATTTGGACAGAGCAGAGCCTCTTCTATCAGTGGAGGGTGTCCACACGCTTGTGAAGTTATCACCTCCAACAGATCAAAGACAGTTGGCACATTATTTATGCATTGGTGAAAGGTGAGGTATTCTGTTGAAGTCGGGCAGCAAAGCATAGCCCCTTATTCTGAAGTAATGACTTCCTCTTGATTGAGTGCCCCTAGTCAAATTCAGAAGCTCTGCTTTGTGTCCTTTTGCTTTGTTCTTTGTGAAAGACCACAATATGAGAAATGAGACCCTGAGAAAAAGTAACCATAAACAGCTTTGTGTATTCTTTTTGAAAAATTCCCCAATGAACTATTTTCACAGACTAGCATCATTTAATTTTAAGCATCATGTCAGACGGCTCTCTTATGTGTCTGTTCTCACAGAAAATGATAAGAAAAGTTATCACCTTTTCCCTCAACCATATTGTTTAGGATGAGTGAATATTATAGCCAAATAACTCTCCCATACTATGTTAATTTTACGAACAAAATCAATAATGGCGCATATACACAGGGCCAACTTGGAGGTTACGTCCTCCAGATTGTGATGATTCCCAAAAAACATTGTGCAGTAGAAGCAACACAGTGGTGAGCCCGAGGCTACTCTTTTGCTCCCCTTTAGTCCAAGGCCTTAGGCAACAACCTTGGTCCAAACATTTCAGCAGCTTTCAATATCAGATGGGAAATATATGTATCCCGTGCCTTCATTTATTGATTGTCCTCACTGTTACATTATAGGCTCCTCAGGTTGTGGCTAATGCTCATGTCAGATTTGAATTGTGTACTGCAGGAAATAAGAGTATAAGTGGGCTTGCTTACTGTTTTGTTTATCTCAGCATTTCAAACTGATAATGAGCCAGCATTAAAGGATCTGTGCCACTTTAAACAAATGTTTCTGACGACCAGCGGAGGCAGATTTAAGCAACTTGCTCACTAAGGACTATTTTCACTCAAAGGTCATCCAGGATAAGTGGGAGGAGGAGGTACACCTCGTCACTTTTTGAAGGACTAAGTGTTCTGCACTGAAATAGACCACTGGGAGACTCAAATGACTCAAAAGGCTATATCAGCGAGCACTTGTGGTCGACGTTATTTATTTATTAATTTGAGGCCTGTCTACTGACACATCTGAGTGGTCTAATTGCTGCGAATTGACACCGGTTACTATCCATAATGGGAGCTTGGGAGTCTTTCCTAACCGCGGTTCATTCAGCCGCCCCTCGCTGCAGCTTAACTGCCCTTAAAATGTCTGATTGCAACACGGGAGCTGTGGGGCGAGACAGGATTATCAGTCTTTGTTGTGTGACTGTGTCTATTATCCTGACCTCTATTCACAGTGGGCCCTTAGGAGTGTCGCTACGAGCCACACAGCAAACTACCCCATCCCTGACAAACAACAAGTGAACCAGAGATCTCCCCCTGTCCCAATGCACTAGACACTTACAGCTCCAACACTGGGCCAAGCACTCCACTGCAGGTAAGGCTATCAAATCCCTATTGATTTAATAAAGATAAATTGGAGGCACTTCCTCTCAACGTTATTGCAGCAGACGCGATTGATTGTTTGTGTTGACTGGTGATATTGTCACCAAGCTGGGTGACGACTGTTAGTTTAGGAAGTTCATTACTAGTGAAGAGCTGCTGGCAGAGTCCTTAATAGGGAGATAAAATGCAGCCAGGATGTTTGGGCTGCTCTTACTGTGTTGTGCGGTTAGACCTGACAGTGGTGAACTGCGTAGGCTCTGTGGCTGTGTATATGTGTGTGTTTCTGTGTGTGTGTGTGTGTGTGTGTGTGTGTGTGTGTGTGTGTGTGGATGTGATTTTGGCAGAGGGATGGGCACCTTCACATCACAATATTTTTTGCCAAAAAATGTAGCACTTCTGTCATTTATTCAGTATTCTCTGTAGTGTTTTTTCAGGTATTTATCTCTGTTGCAGTGTGTTTACCAATAAGACTAATTAAGATAATTTAACTGTGGATTTAAAAACTAATACTTTGATAATTTATCCTGTTGCATTTGGGATATTTTATCTAATTTTGTTTTATTTTATTTTATTTATTTTATTTGATATCCAAGACATTAAATGTTGTAATTATAATGGCTTAATTTAAAAATAATTACCTCCTAAAAACACAAAATTAGGAAATATTTGTACAGTTACTAGATATTTCTTAAGTTAACCGGTATTTCTGTTAAACAGAATGATAGAATGCATTTTGAGTAATAAGTAAATTAAATAAATTGTTATTATAATCTCTTATTATTAATATGTTCTGGTGACCAACATTTAATTTCACATCTGTGGATTGAGTTTAATATTGATAGCAAAAAAATAATAATGTTGATAGTGTACCTCAGTTGGAGGGGAAATGTATCTATGAAAAACCTGCATCAGGAAATTAAACTTGCCATCTCTTTCTTATTTCATAAAATAAGTTATTACGTGCGGTCACCTTTTGTAGTCCCAATCAATATAGTTATTTTCCTGGTAGTAATTGGGTTGCTATGCAGAAAAAGTCCAAAGCTTTCCCTCTCTGTGCCACTGACATGCGAAAAGAATAGTGATGAACAATGCCAGAGGACACAAATAAGCATCCTCGTCTCTGCTCCCAGAGGTTTGTGGATTGAGGTCTGGCACGGCACAGCACACAGGCGTAGTAAGCTTTGGGATTCAGTTCCATAAATACATACCCATTAAAGCTCAACTGATTAATTCATCATGTTTATTTTCATGGTGGATGTCATGTAGCCTATATATAAACTCTCTGTAATCATAAATATGTCAAGACGCCAAAAGTTTTGAGGGCTTCTGAGGCACATTTTCAGTATTAAATTTGACCTAAAACCTAAATACGCACATGATGAATGAAGGATGGAGAGAGACAATGGATTTTTTCTCCTTCTGTTGCTCTCAGTATCCACGTAGTCGATTGAAATGTCTATGCTGTCATGACAGGTTAAAAAGAGGAAAGGACATTGAAGTTAACATCATCATTCATTAAGCCTTTTATAAAAACCAAATATGGTAGTGCTTTGGTTTCCCTGAGCTTATTCTTTCAGAAATACAGTGCGAGCATATTCTTCTCCATCTGTCTTGAGAAGTTTCAACCACAGCGAGTGTGAATTCAATTTATTTCCTTGTGCCCTGATTCACCGCAAATTGCTTAATGGTTTGAAACTCACTCCTGACAGCACCATTAGAGACTTGTACGGAGATAATTTCCAGTGAGGGCCATTAGAGTTGTTTTGTGCGTTATGCATTTTTTAGTATTGGAATGGGGTCAACCTACAATTGTGCTCTGTTGGACAAAAGTGGAAAAGAAAATATAAACCACTCTAAATCAGAATACTAATTACAGAAACCACAGATTTTAGATACGCAAAGAAAAAACAACATGCATTTTAAGATAAAAGCCAAATAAATAAAACAAGACAGAGGTATCTGGGGGAACTTTTCTACTTCTTACAACATGTTATAATTAGAGACCGTTTTACATAATTGTCGAGAACAAAATGACAATGACTTGGCATCCAGTGTTTGCAGGAAATAACTCTTTAATTGGGGGATTGTTATTGCTGAAGTTATCTCAAAGTTGTCCCATTGTCAAACAGAGCTGGCGCGCAGACTGTGGAGCTTCACTTATCCTCCCTCAGCCCACTACATCAGATGGGGGATGATTGCAGTCTTGAAATCAATGAAACCACAAACCTTCCTGATAATATTCCCTCTTGAGATGTGGTGGCAGTTACAGTTGGGGCACTATTTATCTGTCCACCTGTCTGTACCGGAGACATTTGTTGGCGCAGTATGTGAATTGTACTTAATAATGATACTTAAATCTGCATGATCATCAAAAACTGTTAACCTGTGTGAGCAGACATAATTTTATTGCCAAAGAAGCATTTTTTGGGCAATGCAACATTCATTCACCAGGGCAATCCAACTTGATTTAAAGGCTAATAAAAATACAGCAAAGACTTACAATTCACAAAGTGCAAAAGTGCAGGGAAGTGATAGAGTTACACAGAATTTAAAAAGTAAATTTGAGCAGTTTAACTCATGTTATTTATGATATGGAAGATATTTAATCAATGTTTTATTGATGGACTCGTTGACAATCTTTTATACATAAACGGTGAGTTAGCAGGTTCTTGATGTTTCTACTTTTTGTTCTTTAGTGTTGAGAGGAAACACTCAGGACACTTGTACATGATGACACGTTTGTTCTTTGGATTTGTGAGATCATGCCCCCTGGAGAAACATCCACAGATCTCTAAATGGACCGGTTTGACAATATAAAAGTCTCTCAAGCCCTCCGATCAATCATTTCTTTCCACTGCATTATTCCCCAAACAATAAAAAAACAATACCAGATTAATATATAGTCTGTTCTTTGCCCGGATTTATCCTTGTGGGGCGGCCAACATATCCTTGTCTGAAGTCACCAAGCAGTAAGAAGGATTTGGTTGACAGAGCACAGCGGGCCAGGAGATGTCTCTGCATTTGAGGTCACTGGTGGATAGCAAAGTTATCTAAAGCCCCAGTTTGCGTCGATTTCTCACCCCCAATCCTGGAGTGAGTGTCAGAGATTAGTGGTGCATCCATCCTCCGTGACCTCTAGGAGCTAAAGAGATAGTGCGTTGCCATCTTGTGACGTGTCAGACAATGCAAGGGCAAGACTGTCATTTCAATGCCATGCTATGCCACTGGATGGCCCTTTTGTTAAATGCTTTAGAATTGCATGTAATTTCAGCCAGTATGCATTATCATGGGCACCCCCTCCCCCCATCTGCTGAACTGGCTTTTAGAGACAGCAGTTTTGTTCTGCAGACACATTTACTGTATCACTCACAGTGGGAATGCACTTAAGTTATGTGGGAAGGTTGAGAAGAATTTGCACATCTTGGGAGATCATAGGATAATCTCAGGAGACTATTTCTGACACTTAAGTCCTTTAAGATGTTGTGACTGTGATTGTAACGACTTTTTTGTTGTGATCTACCAATTTGGTTATCCCTCTTTGTCTTTCTCTCTGCAGCTTCTCTGTGCTGCAACAATACCTCATTTTTACCCATTGTAATGTCAAAGCTTATAAAAAGAATTTGTTTAGTTGTTTCTTAGCGAACTGAAACTGTTTAGCCTAACCTAAATGTCAATTTTAATCATACAGAACATGTTTTTTCTGTAAAAATCATTCATTTGGGTCTTGCTTTCTTTACAGCATAATTGGTTATTTGATGAAGGTCCATAGTCTGATGATTAATTGACGGACCCTCATGCATGATTAGCCAACCGTCATTAGATATTCAGACCTGAGATTCCGGCATCTCTCTCACTTTGACTGACAAGCCAGTGGTGGAAATGGACAAAGCTAATAGAAGTAGTGTCAAAATGTCAAACGGACCATCTCTGAGAACATCAACAAAATGTCTGTATTGAATCTCTCTAAGGCCTCAGTATTCCCTGACCCAAACCACAGAACTCAGTACAACGAAAAAACTGGCATAAAAACCTCAGTCAGATATCTGACATTCCCATTTCTGAGGCTGTCAGGCCTTCTCCTGGTTCAGGCGTTGTGTGATGTATAAATCGTTCCCTGAGGAAGTGGAGTTACTCAAAACGCCGCAGATTCCTTCCACCATGTTAGAAGAGTACACGTCAGGCTATACCAAGAGGCATGTTTTACAATATCTTGTGAAAAGATGTGCTGAGATGTATTGAGGTGGGGTGTTGGCATGGTTAAAGCATTATCTCAGACAAACAAATAGTGTTTTCTGAATCTCAACAATGATAGTAAAACCCTCAAAAGCAGCACACTTTCAGGTTAACACTTGAAATCATAGTAACAAAAAAAGTAGAGCAGCAAAGTCGCCAATATTCTGAATATCATCCCTCCAAATGTCCCTAGTGAAATCATTTAGTCTACTTAACGAGAATGACCTTAAAATTACACAGTTGGCATACTCAGCTAGATCTCTGGTTTTGTCACTATATTGTTGTGTCTATTATATGTACAGTAGTATAAATATTGTGTGTAATATTGTGTACTATTAGTGCTTTGGCCAGTACACATATGGCCCAAAGTAAAACTCATAAACCTATCTCAGTAGGGACAGAGCCTACTGGAGGGGCAAGTGCTTTAATAAAAAACAGGAAATCCCCTCACCTCCAGCATTTTTGGGGGTTTTCCACATTTTAAACAACAGTGTACATTTGCACAGACTTACTGTCTGTATGCATCTGATAAACTGTTCTTTCTCTTTATCTAGATCTAGATCTGAACAATGAAATGTAGGACTCCGAAATGTCTGTATCTATTTTGGCAAATATGAAAAACGGGGGGGGGGGGGGGGGGGGGGCGGGGTCTTGTTTTGGTGGAACATTTGGCGGGGGGGGGGGGGGGGGGGGGGGGGGGGGGTCATTACCTCGGGTCAACTCATGCATTGATTTGCAACTCCCTTTAGTAAGTAATTT